TGAAGGTTAGTTTTGAGTCTACTATTCGTCCAAGAAATTTGTGCTTGCTCTTCACTGAAGAGGTTGATCATGCTAGTCAATGTCCGAGTCAAGATGGAGGCTCCTCTTTCGGCAGAACAAGACACAAGTGCTCTTTTGCGCGTTGAGCATAAAGCCATTGTCATCTGCCCCTTGAGATACCTTGTTCAACCCTAGTTGAACTTGACAATGGCACATTGAGATGTTGCACTATTTGAAACCAATCTGTACATCATCAACATATATGTCGTAAAAATATTAGGTGTGAGAGACAGGTGCAAGGAATAAATTTTAACTAAGAAAAGTGTGCAGCTCAATACAGCTCTTTGTGGCACTCTTGTTTCTTGGACAAATATTCAAGATAAGACAGTGCCAACTTACAGTGCCAAGGTAGCTTTCAATGATTGCCAGCATTCTACCCCACACACCCAAATGTGACAGGTCGAGCAATATGCCAAAGCGCCATGTAGTGTCGTCTGCTTTTTCCATATCGAAGAACATAGAAAGAAAAAAATTTTTATGAACAAAAGCGTCCCAAATTCGTGGCTCAATAAAGACAAGGTGGTCAGTGGTGGACCAAGCCTCTCGAAAACCACACTTGTATGGGTCAAGTAGATTATTAGTTTCTAGGAAGTGCATCAGGCGCCTGTTAATCATTTTCTCAAAGACCTTGCAAAGACAGCTGGTTAACGCTATTCGCCTGTAGCTGGAAACTGAGGCTGGGTCCTTGCCTTGGTGTAGAATTGCGATAACGATAGCTTCTTCCAGGCTGAGGGTAGCTCACCGGAAAACCATATCGCAATATACAGGGAGAGGAGAGCTTTCTAGAATTGGGATAACGATAGCTTCCTTCCAGGCTGAGGGTATCTCGCCGGAAAACCATATCTCATTATACAGGGAGAGGAGAGCTTTCTGGATTTCGGTGGGCAGGTGTTTTAACATTTCATATGCCACACGGTCCGGGCCTGGAGTAGATTTATTGCAGCAGGTAAGTAAGGCTTGTAGTTCAGCCAAACAGAAAGGTTCTCTGTATACCTCATGTGTTGTGGGTATGTACAGTAATCTCTGTGTTTCTATTCTGGTTTTGTGTTGTCGGAAGGTTTCACTACAGTGTAATGAGCTGGAGACCATGTGCATTAAAGTCCCCAAGGACAAGGTAGGGTTCTGGAAGTTCGTCAATGAGAGACGGGAATTCATGCTTTTCAAGACGGTGTTGTGGAGGTATTCATAGACAGGAGATGGTGACGAGCTTATTTAAAAGAACTTCTTGAACAGCAACCGCCTCAAGGGATGTTTGTAGTGGTAGGTGTGCCCATGCAATCCCTTGATTGACTATAATGGCAACAACACCGGTTGTCACAGTGGCATTATTCCGGTTCTTTCGAAATATAACGTAATTGCAAAGAAAGTTAATATGTTTGGGTCATAAGTGTGTTTCTTGCACACATAACACCTTTAGTGTATGTTCCTGTAAGAGCTCCTGGATATCGTCAAGGTTTCTCAGCAGTCCTCTGACGTTCCACTGTAGTATTTGTGTCATTTTAGTGTTGTGTGCTGGTGTGTGTACAAAAGCGTTGCCTTAGGTTACAGGGCCTTTTGGGGGCCCTGTAATTTTGGTATTTTCTTTCTAGGCACGTTCCAAAGACTTATTTCCGCCTATTCTTCGGCATCTGAGGCGCCAGAAAAGTAGTATTTGTATCCATCACCTCTTGTGAGGTGGTGGTGGTGCCTGCTCGGCAGGCACGTTCACCGAACTTTCGGACCTAAGTGTGCTTGCGGTGGTCCGAAGTCCGGCAGACTGGGGAGTCGGCTGGCCGTTTGTTAGGTGGTGCAGCCGTACTGGCTGCTGTAGCTGGAGGCGCTTGTAGCGCGCCCGCAGTCTCTCTCTGTGTGACTTTTTCGGGCACGGAAAGATGCGACGCGGCACCCCGGTGCACCATATCGGTGAAGGAGGGACTGGACTGATGAATGGAGAGCTGTTTACGTGATTCTTGAAAGGAAAAATTGAACTTAACTTTAATCTCAAGGATTTTTTTTTCTCTCGTACAGATTGGGCATGATCTCAAGTAGGCAGCATGGTTCCTTTCACAGTTCGCACAGAATAATGTTGTTGACGCAAACGTATCTGATGCGTGCTCGTTGGATGCTCAATTTGCGCAAGTAATGCGCCCTCTGCAACTTTGTGACCCATGTCCAAAGCGCTGGCACTTGAAACGTCTGCGAGAGTTTGGCACATAGGGCCTGACACGGAGCTTGCAGTAGCCAGTTTTAATTGAATCAAGTAAGTATCTGGTAACAAAGGTGATGAATATGTGTTTAGAGCGTGTTTCCTTTTTGTCCCGTCGTATAATTATTCGTTGGACATTGACTACATTCTGGTCTTGCCAGCCTTCCAATAATTCACTTTCGGACAGTCCAAGCAGGTCGTCATTAGAGACCACACCGCGCACTGTATTCATTGATTTTTTGGGTCCACCGAGACTGGGACATCCCCAAACGCTACCAGTTTTAGTAAGTTGTCGTATTGGAGCTTGTCGCGAACCACCGAAAGGATGTCGCTGCTTCCCAACTTTGTTACACGATAACCTGGGCTGATTGCTTCGATGAGTGTTTTCGAGACATGAAAAGGCGAGATTGCTCGGACTGTTTCGTTCTCTTTCTGGCTATGCACGACAGCAAACTTGCGGAAGGACTGCTTCGGTTTGGAAAAAATACGGTTATTCGGTGTGCCACCTTTTTGAGCGGCGATCAGGGAGAGGAGGGAAAAAGTTGTCCATACAGATTGTGTACAGTTTTGCAGCGATGGTGGCCACCCACCACCGAGCCCAACAAGGCGCGCTACAAGGTTTAATAGTAAACACTTGGAGACACCAGCCATGCATCGCCGCTCAACCGAATATAAGTACCCAAGGTTAGGTAACTACACAGGGTTAACCCTCTCCGCCAGAAAATTTAGAAGTAGAGATGATGAAACGGAAGCGAGAAGATGACAGGACAGATAAAAAGTGTGAGATAAAGATGAAAATTAGGGGAGAGAGATAGGAAAAGGCGACTGCCGATTTCCCCTGGGTGGGTAAACCAAGAGGTGCCGTCTACGTGAAGCCGAGCCCAAAGGGGTGTGTTGTCTCTGCCGGGGGGTCTTAAAAGTCTGATCACCCAGCGTCAGCTCAACCCCCAGGATCCCTTTTTCCCCGTGCACGGCAAAGCCACGCACGGCTGAGCGTGAGAGGGAGTCGAAACCCCCCGTTAGCTCGGGTCCATGGTCTCGCTACACACCAAACGCCTGCTTGCGCAGACACCCATGCGGGGGCGGGGATCGTATATCAATCAAAAAAAATGAGTACATAATCCATACGTCTCTGAAAATAGCGCAGTTTGATGTTCCACGAGGTAGACTACAACTGCATTATTGATGCTTCAGTGATTAAAACAGTAGTTCTAGACTTAGATAACTATTAAATTGACGTAGTGAAATGTAATATTAAAAGTACAGTATGCTAGTCCCCTGTACTAGGAAAAATGTGCAGTACGTTTTTTTTTTTTCGAGTAATGCTCACGGCTTTTTTTAAAATCGTGCAGCAAGTTAACTGGGACACTGTTTATAAGGTGTCCCAATTATGACGCAGCACAATTTTAGAAAAGACGAACGCCATCACATGGACCAAACCTAGTGCATATTTCTCCAAGTATGCTGTAGTATTGACATTCTTCATTTTCTTGATCGCAAATAATTAGTCATAATTTTAACGTTAACTCTGAAAGTACAACCATAATTATCAAAAATCAGTTACGGAGATGTGCGCATGTTGAAACATCTGTCTGTGTTATTTTTAACAGCGTACTAACTACGTGATCCTTCTTTTCTGTTAATCAAGAGAGCCCGTGAAATATGAAAAACAACACGTGACTGCACTGCCACCCGCAAAAGAAAGCAGCACTTTGAAATAAGCTTACTAAAGCAACCACTTTAGCTCTTTTCCGTTGCCAAAGACAGCGTTGCGTAGACTGCCAGCAACAGTCGGGTGCCAGCAACATGCAGTGCGGGAACTGGCAGATAACGTTATCTGCATTTTTTTTCTTTATATTTTTCTTTTATTTATGCTGGCCACCTCAAAGTGAGTTTGAGGGCGCTGCTTACAGATGTGTGCCGCAGTCTAGTTACACTTTATTTTTTATATTCCGTGGGGTTTTTCGATCGCCTTGAAAAAAAGAACAGACAGACGACGTTTCAACATACGTACATCTTCATTGTTCTCATTTAGAAAAATAGCTGAGTAATTTTGAGTTGCAAAGTAATTATGAATATTAAACAAAATTCATTATTGAAAAAGCATTAGTAGATTTTACTGCACTATTCTGAGAACAATGTACACTAGGTTTTGTTCGCATAACGCCGTTCCTCTTTTTTTTTATTCTTGCAGCGTCATAACTGGAACAACCCGTATAAAGACTGTACCGTCATAGTTGGCACGTGCACAAATATGCATTACGTGCCAACAACGACGGTACGGTAATAGCGTGCTTGCCACATGGTAAACTAACATGTCAAAAAGATCCTGCTGGAGCGTGCAGCTACAAGAACAGCGTTAACGAAGGCCAATTGGCTAAGGTCCTTGGCTGCTGACCCGCAGGTCGCGGGTTCAAATCCCGGCTGCAGCGGCTGCATTTCCAATGGAGGCGGAAATGTCGTAGACCCGTGTGCTCAGATTTGGGTGCACGTTAAAGAACCCCATGTGGTCAAAATTTCCGGAGTCCTCCACTACGGCGTCTCTCATAATCATATGGTGGATTTGGGACGTTAAACCTCACAACTCAATGAATCAATCAATCAACGAAGGCCAATTCAAGTCAATTATGAAACAACGCTTGCCGCATCGTCCCGATGCCATGACAGCCTATTTTGAATCCCATTGAAAGGACGGACATGTTTCTTTAGGAAGCAGCTGTATAGTACGCTTAAAATAACTTAGAGGCTGTAGTACGGTATGTCGTCTGCTCGGCGAAGGCGTAGGTGTGTCCGACGACGATCCAGAAGACATTGAACGTGCGGATGCCGTGAACAGCCTGCAGGTTTCTGTTGTGGTGGTCATCAGGTGTCTTCACTGTGAGCAGCTTCTGGGTGGCCCTCAGGATGGACATGTCCACCAACGATTGGACCATGGGCTCTGGGACAATGTGAATGAAAACACTTTATCACGGAGTTCGCATGCAAGTGTTCTCACTTGCGCACCTGCAAGATAATAATTTGCGCAAATACTTTTTGTGCAGGCTAGCCAACAGTACCTGTAGGGATTGAGATATGCTATAGAAAATTTTTCTTAAATATAATGCTGCGGCTAGCAACTCTGTTCGAAATCGTTAAAAGGTATATGAAATAATAAATGCTGTGTAACCATAATTATAATGTACTGTGACCCGAAGTGCTCCCAAGTATGTTGCTCATTCAGTGTTAATTCTTCTCTACTTTGGTTTTGCCAACTTTCAGTACAAGTTTCCGTAAGAAAACGCTAAAAAGCACGAAAAAATACAGGCAAGAGCTATGACTTGGGGTTTATTGAAAGACATACACACTTCCAAAGGGCAAACCAGTAAATGGAAAACACTTCATTTGAACTGGGCAGTGAGATGAGGCAAAAAATAGTTCTTGCATAATTAGTAGAGATTGTATATTTATCACTGCATTGTTGAATTATTATGGTCATCAAAAGCACTTCAAATGAGCCCACTGGCTGCCTCACAGTTTCTTGTACAGTGGCTATGTTACCACACGTACTTAGAAAGTGTTCATGTATGTCCAATATCTCCCGCACACGATAACATAGCATTTGTTGTCATGGTCTCCGCTGCAGCGGTGATCATGAGTCGTCATGAGTCGGCGTATCTAACCTGAAGTGCTAACTGCGATGGCCCACATGAGTCGAGGTCGAAAGATTGCCCTAAAATAATGACTTAAACGACCGTGCTATGGAAGAAGTTACGAGATCACTCTATGCACAGAGAAGCGGCTTCTGATGTGCACCGTGGCCAGAGGCGCTCTCGTACCCGCAGGAAGAGATCAGCATCGACAAGTGTACAAAAGCCTGTATTGCCTGATGAGTTAGTCAGAGATCCTCCTATATCTGAAGCTGTATCTCAACCTCAAGTCAAACCTTCTTTGAAAAACGTCATGGACAATACGTAATGGTATTCTCTGCTGCCCCGGAGTGCTGAAGTGCAAGGGCCAGAAATACGGCATGAACATGAGACTTCGTCATCGAATGTGCAAATCAAAGCTATGCTTACGCAGTTAGTGCGTGCCTTGCGAATGCTGCTTATTGTCGTTCTGTTACATTTCAATGCAACGCTCGAGGGCTATGAGGTCACCTCGGATATTTTAAACAGAGAATGTTGGAATATCCATTCCCTGTTGCTGTGGCTGTGATATGTGAGCCAAATATGACTTAACCATTCAGACTGTCTGAATATGAACAATTAACTTCCAATTCACAATTTACTTGCGCTGAGAATCGTGTGGGGTTTTGGGACGATAACAAAAGCTTGGGAAATGGAACGTGGCATTGCCCCCCTCTGAAAAAAGGCATCGTCCCGATGCTTTAACTAAAGATGAAAGTACAATAATAATGCAAGAAAGCACAATGAATAAATTACGATACAGCAATAATACAAAAAAAACACTGTTTCAGTTTGTTAACGCGCATGAAACGGCTTAAGGCGCGCGACATGGACGACTTCAGGTCGCGATCGGCGTCGTTGAGAGTTCGTGATGCCGTCGGGGACAACCTCGTAATCAAGTGGGCCGAGACGTCTAACCACCCTGTAAGGTCCGAAGTACCGTCGCAGAAGCTTTTCACTTAGTCCACGTCGGCGTATCGGCGTCCACACCCAAACACGTTCACCGGGCTGGTATTCCACGAAGCGTCGTCGAAGGTTGTAACGGTGGCTGTCGGTCGTCTGTTGATTTTTGATACGGAGACGGGCAAGTTGTCGGGCTTCTTCGGCGCGTTGAAGGTACTCGCTGACATCGAGGTTTTCTTCGTCGGTGACGTTGGGTAACATGGCATCGAGCGTCGTTGCCGGACTCCTTCCGTAGACCAATTTGTATGGAGATATCTGCGTCGTCTCCTGCACCGCCGTGTTGTATGCGAAGGTCACATACGGAAGAATGGCGTCCCACGTCTTGTGTTCGACATCGACGTACATTGACAGCATGTCGGCGATCGTCTTGTTAAGCCGCTCGGTGAGGCCGTTGGTCTGTGGGTGGTACGCTATCGTCCGGCGGTGGTTTGTTTTGCTGTATGCCAAGATCGCTTGAGTTAAGTCGGCAGTGAATGCCGTTCCTCTGTCGGTGATAAGGACCTCCGGGGCGCCGTGACGTAGGACGATATTTTCGACGAAGAACTTAGCTACCTCGGATGCACTGCCTTTTGGCAGGGCTTTTGTCTCGGCGTAGCGGGTGAGGTAATCGGTAGCTACCACGATCCACTTGTTTCCGAAAGCCGACGTCGGGAACGGCCCCAGTAGGTCCATACCAATCTGCTGGAAAGGTCGGCAAGGTGGATCAATTGGCTGCAGAAGTCCCGCTGTCTTTGTCGGCGGTGTCTTGCGTCGCTGACAGTCCCGGCATGTTCTCACATAACGAGTGACGTCGGTGGTAAGACGTGGCCAGTAGTACCTTTCTTGTATCCTCGCGAGCGTGCGAGAAACACCGAGGTGCCCTGCCGTCGGATCGTCGTGCAGGGCCTGCAGGATTTCTGGTCGCAGAGCTGAAGACACCACAAGGAGGTACTTAGCTTGAAGCGGTGAAAAGTTTTTCTTTTGTAGAAGACCGTTTTGTAGAAAGAACGACGCAAGTGCGCGCTTGAATACCTTCGGGACTTCGGCGGTCCGGCCTTCGGGGTATTCTATTAGGGCCTTAAGTTCCGGGTCGGCCCTCTGTCGTTCAGCGAAGTCGTCGGTAGTTATCATTCCTAAGAAGTAGTCGTCATCCGGGTCGTCGGGTAGCGGTTGGTCTACAGGCGCACGAGAGAGACAGTCGCCGTCGGAGTGTTTTTTGCCGGACTTGTAAATGACAGTAATGTCATATTCTTGAAGTCTCAGGCTCCATCGTGCGAGGCGACCTGAAGGGTCCTTCAAGGTGGCTAGCCAACACAATGCGTGGTGATCACTCACAACTTTGAAGGGCCTGCCGTAGAGGTAGGGGCGAAATTTTGACGTAGCCCAGATGATGGCGAGGCACTCCTTTTCTGTTGTGGAATAATTTGCTTCTGCTTTGAATAGCGATCGGCTGGCGTAACTAATAACTCTTTCAAGTCCGTCAGCCCTCTGCACAAGAACGGCGCCAAGACCTACGCTGCTTGGGTCAGTATGTATTTCTGTCTCGGCGAATTCGTCGAAATGGGCAAGTAACGGAGGCGTCTGGAGGCGATGTTTAAGCTCCTGAAAAGCGTGTTCCTGCGGCGTTTCCCACTTAAACTCCACGTCGGCCTTGGTAAGGTTAGTGAGAGGATCGGCGATGCGGGCGAAGTTTTTAGCGAACCGCCTATAATAGGCACACAGGCCCACAAATCGGCGCACGGCTTTCTTGTCAGTGGGCGGCGGGAAGTCGGCGATGGTGGCTGTTTTCCGTGGATCGGGACGAACTCATGACTTGCTGATAACGTGCCCCAAAAACAAGAGCTCCTCATACGCGAATCTGCACTTTTCTGGCTTCAGTGTGAGTCCGGAAGTCTTGATGGCTTGAAGTACAGCTTCAAGGCGCCGACGATGCTCGTGGAAACTCAAGGAAAACACGACGACGTCGTCCAAGTACACAAGGCAAGTCTGCCACTTCAATCCTGCCAGTACTGTATCCATAACGCGTTGAAAAGTTGCAGGCGCTGAGCAAAGGCCGAAGGGCATCACCTTAAACTCGAAAAGGCCGTCTGGTGTTATAAACGCCGTCTTCTCTCGGTCTCTTTCGTCGACTTCGATTTGCCAATAGCCAGTCTTGAGGTCCATTGATGAAAAGTACTTGGCGTTATGAAGTCGATCAAGTGCGTCGTCTATTCGTGGGAGAGGATACACCTCCTTTCTTGTGATTATGTTCAGGCGGCGATAATCGACGCAGAAACGTAGGGTCCCATCCTTTTTCTTCACTAACACCACGGGGGATGCCCATGGACTCTTGGACGGCTGGATAATGTCATCCCGCAGCATTTCATCAACTTGTCTCTTCATGGCCTCACGTTCTCGCGTCGAAACCCTGTACGGACTCTGACGGAGGGGTCTGGCATTTTCTTCGGTTATGATGCGATGTTTCGTGATTGGGGTCTGCCGAATTTTCGATGACGACGAAAAGCAATCTTCGTATTGCAGGAGCAGGGCCTTGAGCTGTTCTTGCTTATCGTTCGGAAGTCTGGGATTGACGTCGAAAGCTATGGGAGGGGCTTGGTTCCTCTGAGCAGGTTCCGCAGAATCGGCGAGGGCGAAAGCACTGGTGGCTTCGACAATTTCTTCGATGTATGCGACCGTTGTTCCTTTGTTCACATGTTTGTACTCATTGCTGAAATTCGTGAGCATAACCGTTGCTTTGCTCCCCGCAGCTCTGCAATTCCTCTTGCGACGCAAATATTTCGGGTGACCAACAGATGCTGACTGCCTTCAACGACACCTTCCAAGTCAGGTGATTTAGGAGCGCCGACTGAAATAATAACGCTTGAGCGAGGCGGAATGGTGACTTGTTCTTCCAGCACATTCAAGGCATGGTGTCCTGACGGCGTGCGCGGCGGTAGTGCTGCTTCTGTGGATAACGTTATCGACTTTGTTTCTAGGTTGATGACAGCACCATGGAGGCATAAGAAGTCCATGCCAAGGATGACATCTCTCGAGCAACGCTGTAGGACTACGAAGTCTGTAGGTAAATACGGCCGTTAATGGTGACTCTCGCTGTGCAGACTCCTGCAGGCGTTACGAGATGACCTCCGGCTGTGCGGATTTCAGGGCCTTTCCAAGCTGTCCTAACTTTCTTTAACTTCGAGGCGAACGACCCACTGATGACAGAATAGTCGGCTCCAGTATTGACGAGAGCGGTCACACTGTGGCCGTCGATAAGAACGTCGAGGTCGCTAGTTCGCCGTCTCACATTACAGTGAGGGCGTGGCGTCGGGTCATGGCTGCGTCGGCTTGT